CAGGTGGAGCGCTATAGCTTCTGCTGTAATTGCTGTAATGTAATGATGCAAAATTTCAATAGAAACAGCGGTTCCCTACATCTTTGGACTCGTGGACCACTGAGCTGATTTCTTGTACCTAATCTAAATGGATGAGTGATTAACAGGTTTCTGCAGCACTTGATGCCATCCTGAGAAGGCAATACAAATATTTAAATCAGGTGGTCTGAAGCAGAGACGTGAATGTAGGGTTTGGGAAATTGATTGCTTTAAGAGCTCTCTCTCTCTCCCTCTCTCTCTCTCTCTCTCTCTCTCTCTCTCTCTCTCTATATATATATATATATGTATATATATATATATATATATATATATATATATATATATATATATATATATATATATATATATATATATATATATATATATTACCTTATGACCAATAATCTGTGAGACGCTCAGATCTAAATATAGAATATCAACCCTGCTTGGTTTTTACTGTGTTTATCAGAAGATTCTAGGATTCTTTGTATATTATGGGATTGTACACACTTGGCATGAAGAATCCTGTAGGGTGATAAGGATGGACCTTGAGGAGAGAACATTATTGTTGACAATTCGTTATCTGTGTTCAGAACTGCAGAGAGGCTCTGAGCTCCAGCTGATGTGATGGAGGCAGGCCAATTTAAAAGGAACACTGTCATGTTCTCTGTCCTGCATCCCCCTCATGTGTTCTCCAGTCCTCTCTAGGTTCCCTTTATGTGTCTCCTTGTGTTCCTCATGTGCCTCCTTGTGTTCCCCAGCCCACTCCAGGTTTTCCCCTTAGGTGTTCCCCTTAAGTTACTGTGCCCCTTTAGGTCTCCAACCCCTCCAGGTGTCCCTCTAGGATCCCCCTCATGTATACCCAAGCTTCCTGTGCCCCTTCATGTCTCCAGCTCCCACCAGGTTTCCCAGGTTCACTTATTCTTTAGTTCTCTTTGTATTTATGTTATCTAGCTAGTTTTTCCCTGTAGTTTTTCATAGGTTCAGGTTTTCTTTTAGGTTACTTCCCCACCAGTTTATTAGTTCTCCCTTTCTCCTCAGCTTAGATTCCTCTCCCTAATTATTAAATTGATTTCACCAGGTTTCCTTGGTTTCTCTCTCCCCCACGCACCTGAAGCTCATCTCCCAATCATCCTGCCCTGAGTATAAAACCCTGTCTGTGTATCAATGTGTTGTCGGTCCATTGTCCTTGTCAGTGCTGTTTGTCCCCCCCCCCTCTTAGGTCTCTAAGTTTTTGGCTTCGTGCCCTACTAGGTTTTGGATTCGACATTCTAAATAAAGGAATGTTTACTTTTACATCCTCTCCTGTCTCGTGTCATTCTGGGTGTCTGCACATTGGGTCCAACTCCTCCAGCCCTCAACGTGACAGAATGGACTGACCATCCCAGGACCCAGTAGTAACCCCAGGTAATCCGACATTTAGCCAAGGGATGTCGACGGTGACACGGACACCTGTCGGAGATTCATTTGGGACTGTGTGAGCTTTATGGATATGGACGGCTTGGACATCGACCTAGTTATGTTTATGGTGCTTTGGCTGAAGGGTAAAGCCCTGCAATGGGCCGCCCGCTATTTTGAGCAGTATCCAATAGGGGAAGTTAGTTTTTGGATTTTTGCTAAGGATCTACAAGATGCCTTCTGCTGCAACCCACAGCCACCCACTTCACTCACCGCCACACCTTCATCTGGCCCAAGTGGACTGTCATCTGTGAGCTGCCTTCGTCTTATTAGGCACCCTCTCTGCATCTCCGAGGGACCGAACCTCCAAACCTTCATCCGGTCCGGACAGCGCTACCTCCTCATCTCTGGTGGGCTGCCATTCAACCTCATCCTCTGCCTCAGCCGGCGCCATCTCCGCACCTCTGATGGGCTGAACCTCCACCCGTCGACAACGTCGACACAGTCACCGGCAGTCTCCTGAGGTCAGAGCGGCACCGTCAGTCCAGGTGTTTCCTGCTCTGCAACCCCAGCCCGTCCAAGAGGCCCCGCCTGCAGCAGCACAGCCCATCCAAGAAGCTCCACCTGCAGCGACACAGCCTATCCAAGAGGCTCGGCCTGTAGCGGCCCAGCCCGTCCAAGATGCTCCACCTGCAGCGGCTCCGCCTGCCCAAGAGGCTCCACCTGCAGTGGCTCAGCCTGTCCAAGGGGCTCCGCCGGTCCAAGGGCCTCCACCCCCAGCCCAGCTGGTCCGAGAGTCCCAGTCTACACCTGCGGAGACCCGGTCTATGCCTGCAGAGTCCCGGTCTACGCCTGCAGGGTTCCGGTCTATGCCTGCAGGGTCTACACCTGCAGGATCCATGACTGCAGGGTCTTCAGTGTCCTCGCCAGCCGAGTCTCCAGAGTCTTCGCCAGCCGAGTCTTCGCCAGCTGAGTCTTCGTCTTCAGAGTCTTCGTCTTCAGAGTCTTCTCTTCCGCCTCCTGCAGAGTATTTGCTTAAGCCTCCAGAGTCCCCGTCTTCAGAGTCCCTGTCTCATCCTCATCCTCCAGCGTCCTTTCATCCTCCAGAGTCCCCGTCTCATCCTCATCCTCCAGAGTCCCCATCTCATCCTCATCCTCCAGAGTCCCTTCATCCTCCAGAGTCCCCACTTCATCCTCCAGAGTCTTCAAAGTCCCTTCATCCTCCTCCAGTGTAGTCGTCCCCTCATCCTCCTCCAGTGTCGTCGTCCCCTCGGCCTCCTGAGTCTTCGTCCCCTCAGCCTCCTGGGCCTCCTGCGTCCCGGCTCCTGGCTCCCCATAGCCGCCCCCCCAGAGCGTCCTGGTCCCGGCTCCTGATTCCCTGTCGCCGGCCCCACAGGGCCTTCAGGTCCTGGCTCCTGGTCACCCATTGCCGGTCCCAGAGTGTCCGGACCCATAGCGTCCGGACCCCGGACTCTACTGGTCCCTTCCTCCGGGGCTTACTTTTGGTTCCCTTGTCTTTTGTCTTGTGTTTGTGTCTTGTGCTTGTGTCTTGTGGGCGTCTCGTATCCGCCCCTTGAGGGGGGATGGGGGTGGGGGGGCACTGTCATGTTCTGCGTCCTGCAACCCCCTCATGTGTTCTCCAGCCCTCTCTAGGTTCCCCTTATGTGTCTCCTTGTGTTCCCCAGCCCACCCCAGGTTTTCCCCTTAGGTTTCTGTGCCCCTTTAGGTCTCCAACCCCTCCAGGTGTCCCTCTAGGTGTCCCTCTAGGATCCCCCTCATGTGTACCCAAGCTTCCTGTGCCCCTTCTTGTCTCCAGCTCCCGCCAGGTTTCCCAGGTTCGCTTATTCTTTAGTTCTCTTTGTATTTATATTATCTAGCTATGTATATATATAAGCCTCTCCACCAGCCAACCAAAGACAGGTCTCTTTCATCCAATTAAAGTGTGTCCAGAAAATACTGCTTATCACTAAAACAGCCACTCAACAGCTTATTGAATTGCTTTCTGCTATTTAGCAACCGGTCACTGTCCACTGGCTGCAAGTAATACTTTATTGTAATTTATGTGTCATGATTAAGGTGACCATATTCTGACTTCCATAAAAGAGACACATTTCTAAAACAGTTCAACTGTACTTTGTTCAGTTAAAGAGGAATACTTGCTGGTGTAGCGGTCACACTTTATAGCGTGTAATTATTGAGTCAGAAAAAAACACTTAGTGTAAAATTATTTGAATAGGACTGGACTTGTCTCGCCACTTTGTAGCGGCCACACTTTAAAGCGTGACGACTGCAAATTAATTATGAACAATAAGATGTGATTATTCCATATAAATATGAAATATCAATCTGATTGATCTTTGAATGTTTAATCAGAGGATTCTAGGATTCTTTGCTTGTTCAGGGACCATAAACACACTTTGTATTAATTCAGATAGAGTCAGGTACATAGTTAAAAAGGAATTTTATTATTTTCTAAACTAATGATTATACATGACAAGATATGAATAATGAGATGTGATGGTGTGGATATGCGGTGATGGAATGCGATGTGTAGGTGGTGTGATGTAAGTTAGATGTTTATCAGAATCTTTGTATCTGAAAGAAATTGTGAAATCTGGGTGTAAAATAATTTGTTGTCTGCTATAAACTAGAGTTGATTATTAATAAAACAGCATCAGACGCAATCTGTTGTGTCTACAAACCCTGGCGGAGACCCCCAGCAGATCTGGACTGTCAGAAGTTGGGTGGACTTCACGGCACTGGGATATCATAGATTTAACTCCGATATGACCCGTTCAGTCTTGGGATGTCTCCAGGTCACAACAGTAGCTGGAATGCTTGTTTGCGTCCAAAGTGAATATGGCCCTTAAGGAACCGTCTGGCTGTGTCAGCTTGCAGCGTGCAAACAGGTTGACTGTATGTCAACGGAGATTGTTTCAAAAGAGGCAAATTTCCAGATTTGGCTGAATCGGGCTCAGCTGGAAACTGAATTAACCGGGAAGTAAATCCTGTTTTAATAAACCACAATGTTATGATTCCCGGCCATTCTGGCAAATCAGAATGTGCCATGTCTGGAAGGCTTTACCAAACCAGAAAGCCACGCCTTCCTTCAGATAAAAGATTCTTAATTCTGTGCATAAAGAATCTTTAAACATTATGTGAGGTGAACCTTAACCTTAATTTGTATCTTATGAAGATGTGTATGAGTGTAGATAATGATTAACTTGTTAAATCAAACACATACTGATCATAAAATCTGCAATGGATCATTGTAGGAACAATATTAATTTCAAATTCATTGATTTAAGCACAGGCCATTCAAACATTTGATTTAGAGATCTTGTTCATTCATCACATATAATTATTTAACCCGTAAGTTGTAAAAGTTAATTCAGAGTGAGGTATCCAGCAGTCTGAGATAAGAGAGGAAAGGGTTTTTGCTTCTGGTGAGACCTTGACAGTTTATTTAGGTCTGCGTTGAAGAACAACGAGTGAGCAAAAGGTCTGATTTGTGTGATTGGATTCTCCAGCTGGCATAACATTGACTTTGCAGCTCTGGCGTGCATGAAAGGTTACTGTGTCAATTCAATGATGGAAATCGACCCTTTTTATTCATTACACCGGATAGTTTTTATTTACTGTCATTTTTGTCTTTTAATTGTTAATTCAAGAACACCTCCTTTGTTCCATATCATATCAATGTTATTCATATATTAAAACCGTCTCAACTGTACACTCTTTTGGCAGATTTTGACACATATTCATTTGTTCTTTGTCAGATTTCAGTTGGATTTTGAAATAAGCCAGGTGCAATGAAACAAATTAATAAATGACCACACCATTTCCTCCTGTTAATTGCAATAGACCGAAATCAATCACTTTATTTGAAAATATAACATATCTAAGTTTTAATGGATATATAACATATGTCTTCAACATAGACCCTGCTAATGATTTGGGTTATTTTTGATAGAAAGAGAGAGAAAATGCAAGAAGGCTGGGAAGGAAAGAAAGTGATAGAATAACAGGTTCTGTTAAACATTCTTTGAATAATGAATTAATTGACAAGTCTTTGCAGGGTGTGACATAAAATGTTCAACATCAAGCTCCTGGGGCTGAGCCCCCATCTCTCAAACCTAGTGACGTTCCTGCACAAGCGTGAAATAACCATTCCATAACCAGTCACTGGGTTTAATCTTTCAATAACTGTCTCTTGTACAAATGTCAAAGCCCAGAGTCTTTGTTTGCTTGGCAGAAGATAAATCACGTTGAGAGGAGCTGGCTGAGGTGGTTCGGATATTTGATCCTGAACACTTCCCAAATGAAATATTTTGAGCATGTCCTACTGGCGGGATGCTCCAGGGTTGATGAAGGACACGCTGGAGAGATTTTATCCTAGGTGTGACTGGGAACACCTTGGGGTCTCCTTGGTGTTTCAGCTGGAGATTCCTGGGGAGACGTTGACTTATTCCACTCCACAGCCCTGACCAGTTTATAACTAGTGAGTTGTCTCTTTTTTCTCAAATAAAATTGTCTTAGCTAAAATATTATTTCAGAATAATATTAGTCCAGAATATTATTTGTATGGCTTAAATTCATTGTAGTCTTATGTTTAACCCTCCCACCATCCTCATGGGTGACCCCGCCAGGAAAGTTGAGCATTGAGCAGGATTCTTGGTTTATCCCCTAAGGTTCACGTGGCAGGGGTGAGGAGTGAGCACCACCTCATGCTTAATAGCAGCTACTGACCGTGAGCTAGCTGTGTTTCGCCATGCTAACTAGCTATACCTTACCTTTGGACCTGGAGATTTTACAAAATCCCCTTTTGAGCTCTGAGCCTATATTTCTGAGGTAGATAAAACACATAGGAAGAGTTAAAAAAATGATGCTTATGTACAAAAGTATTTTCATTTCAATTTGAACCAAAGAAACTGTGAAAAGGGTTTAACTAAAGGCTATTATGCAGTGTAAATTCCTGTCTTCTGTCTTGTGTATCAATCCTTTATTGAAGGTCTGTTAATAAGTTTTTTTTCATCATCAGCATTCACATCCTATGATAAAAATAAATACACTGCGCGTGTACACACACGTGCTCACATGGTGCTCTCAAAAGTATGGGCTTGGGCACGTTCAACACTCGTCTCAAGGCTGTCGTTGCCACTAAATGCACTATGATTTATTATCGTGTGATTGCTAAGTTAAACAATGTTGATTTTATATTTTATCATCACGTTGATGCAGTGATAGCTTGCTCCTGATTTATTGTTGTGTGTCCCATTTCTTTCTGCTCTTCTCTTTCTGCAGCTCTAGAAGCAGAATCTTGTTCATTATTGTTTATTTTTGTGGGACCCCCCCCCCTTCCCACCTTTTGTCTTTTCCTTTCTCTTTCACCTCTGTCTCCGTGTCTGGTCGGAATTACAAAGCATTCAAAAACAATAACAATAAAGTTTTAAGTATCAGGCGTGACATTAAAAGCAGACGCTTTGATGCTCCACCTGAGAGTAAATCTGTAAGGCTTGTCACCAGCATTCAGACACAAATTCTGTTTGCTTCACAGCCAGACAGGACAAGGTTAAAAAAAATACACTGCAGCAGCTTCATTAAAACCTGTTCCAGGATTGTTGGTGTGAAATAAAGAAATCTGAATTCTGTTAGCAGCCAGTGAATCTTTCAGTAAGTGGCTTATATTCTTTCAATCATTTTGCTATTCTGCAAACAGAAAGTTGTGTTTTGGTTTGAAACAGAAAGCCAGAGTTTTACTTTATGATGAAATTCAGCTCTCCTTATTTTATTTATCAACATTTGTAATAAAAACATCAGATAATATTTAATTGATACTTGTGTTTTTTTGCAAAGTGAGTTATTCCAGAAAACCTGCTCCCTTACACTTCCTTCGCACTAGAGACATCAGCAAAATGGAACAGCAGCAGAACAGTGTAGCGTTGGACAAATCCAACAAGGTTATTTGCCCACAGCAGTGTCAAAGGTCAACAGACAGTCAAGTGCCCAGCTACTGCCGATGCCAAGAATATTGTGTTCTTCCCAGCACCAAAACACTTCCATGCTACACTATCTGGAAACTCAGTCAACATAATCTTCAATGTTGACATGGAGCTGCACCTCCAAGGTTAATTTGTATTTTATTTAACCTTTGTTTATTCAGATGAGTTGATTCAGACCTCATTCTCATTTACGATGACAATCTGGCCAAGAGGCAGCAGCAACAGACACAAAGTTAGCTTTACTTCAAAGAAAAACAGGTAAGATAAAAAAAAAATACAAGATAAAAATTTGATCAAACAGTTAGACATAAAGACAACAGACTGTTCTCATAAATAAAATGTACAAGTAATCAAAACAGACTTAAAACAGTCTTTAAGTACTCAGAAGCACATTCATCAGAAACTATTGATCACCATGAGCAAGCAAACTGGAATGAGGAGCGGCCAAAGGAGGTGCAAGCTTTGGGAGTAACCGTAGAGATTAAGTTACTGGAACGTAAATAGTGCTGGTTGTTGGAAGTGATGAGAAATGAGAGAAGATACGATGGTGTTCTACCGATGATTGTTTTCTATATGAACTGATACCGATGTAACATCCAGCAGGAATGGAGTGATGGCCAGTTAATGAGTGAGT